TACACAGAAGGCAGCAGCAGGAGGCAGAGACTGAGGCAAAGAAGCAACTGGGCTCGGCCGCCTCTTGCAGCTGCCCACTGACTGCTGCTGCCACCACCCAATTACTCCCTCCAGCGATCGTCTCTTTGCGATTGGGCGGTGGCGGCAGCAGTCAGTAGGCAGCTGCGAGAGGCGGCCGAGCCCGGCTGCTTCTTTGCCTCAGTCTCCGCCTCGTGCTGCTTCTGTCTCCGCTGCTGGTTGCGGGCTCAGTGATTGTGCAGCCCTTTGATCCCAATGTTTCCCTTCTTTTTTCTAAGGCTTAGCAAAAGGAAGGGAAAAGCAGGGATCAATTTTTCAAATTTGGGGCTAGAAAATGGGGGGTCGTCTTCTAAACAGAAAAATACGGTGCCCTTTTTTTGGTAGGAAAATGACGTTTTTGCAGGTAAAGAGCATGGAAGAGACGAGGATGAATGTGTGTGATGCTCTAACCTTGTATGTGGAGAAGGAAAGAACTGCCACGTAATAAGAGGAGCCTGACCTGCTTGCCTTTTAACATTATTGTTAAAACCGCTGAGCCTTGTGGTGCAGAGGTTAAACTGCTGTATTGCAGCCAAAACTATGCTTACAACCTGGAGTTCTATACTGGGTAGCTGGCTCAAGATTGACTCAGCCTTCTAGCCTTTCGAGGTTGGTAAAATGAGTACCCAATGTGTAGCCTGGGTAATTAACTTGTAAACTGCCTAGAGACTGCTTGCATCACTATGGGGTGGTATATAAGCATCACGCTTCGCTTTTTTATTGGGATAAATAGACTTTCCACCTGGACGTACTCATTTAAGATTTTTTCCCTTACTACTTCTTTACTGCTAAACAATGAATTCTTGCAAACTGTATGAGACAGGATACAATGAAAATTTCATAGATAACAATTACATTTAGATGCTTTATTTTGGGATTCATAAACCTCTTGAAAGGATTTTGAATTTTTGCTTCTTACCCCTGGAAATCTCCTAGGTTAACAAATTTAGAACTAAGGAATCTGGTGTCTGCTTAAAACAATGTATTAGGAAAGGCCCTACAATTAATTCACTAACGAGCTCAATTCAAATAATTATCAAATACCCTAGTGTCACTTTAAAGTACTGCAGAATTCAACTATATGCAAGAATTTCAATCTACGCTATCATCTGCACCTCAAAGTCTGCAAGAGGCTAAAGCATAATGGTTCCCAGAAGTGATTAGGATCACAATCCTAACTGCACTTACCAGGAAGCAAATTACCTTTGAAATCAGCGGGATGGACTTTCATATAATCATGAGATGAACTAAGCTTTTAAGTATAAACATGGAAACTCCCTCATTTTAGATTTACCCTGAAACAAGATTGTAGTTGAGAGCTGGATGGTCTTTTGCTACTGGAGGAACAAGAGGCTCTGGCTGCCATTCTTCAATCAATTCTTCCTTTTCCTAAAACGAAAAGAAACAAAAACCACTTGAGTTCTAGCAATGTGACTGCGAAGGTTATGGAAAGACTGTTTAATCCAAACCAGAGGTTCCCAAATTTTCATCCCTAGTTACTGTCACACCTCAAGTCCTAGAATTCCAAGCCAGCATGGATTCTGGGAGCTGGAATCCAACATGAGATGAATTGACTCACTAAGAAAGTCATTGACTGAAAGACTTGAGTGGAGCTGTAAGAGACCTTCGAAAGTCCTATCCTTAATTATAGAACCCATGTGGAAACATCTGTTATGGTAAGGAGGTTTATCACAATATGGATCAGTATTCAGCACTTCCATCAGTTATGGACTATAAATGCCAAAATTCCCGATTATGGGAGTTCCATTTGCCAGACAGACACCTAAACTGTGTTCACGGTCCAGGGTAAGCCAAGTTCTTTCTAGTTTGCTTTTAGAAAATGAAGCAGCCCCCGATGGCTCCCAGAGTCCTCGCAATCATTGAGGCAGCTTCCTTTTCTAACAGCAAACCAGGGCACAACTCAGCCTATTCTGGGCCATGAAGCCCTCCAGTCCAACCTTCCTCCAGGTGAGCAGAATTTAGGTGTCCTTCTGGCAGACAGAACTCCCAGAATGGAGAATTTTGAAATTTAGAGCCCAAACAAAAATAAACACATATGCCTCATCCATGTTTTCTCTATGGCCAATGCTTAAGCTGCTGCTAGAAACCAGCAAAATTCCAAGGATGATAATAGTATTTATGCTCTGATGTCCAACTCTGATATCCTCTGTCCTTTATGGGTCTGCTCTGTTATCATTTCGCCAATTAGTTAAAAATAAACAAGAAAGTTGGCAGCACCTGGATAAGTTTAGTGAACTGGGGCATCTACTAGGTCAGACCTGGGCAAAGTGTGGCCCGTGGGCCACATACGACCCGAGAGCCGCTCCTGTCTGGCCTGCCCGTCGCCGCTGAGTGAGCTGGACCTCTGGCTCTGGTCACTCAGCACGGCAGTAAGCAAAACTTGCGAGATCCGACACTGGGATCTCATGAGTTTTTACTGTTACTCTTGAGCCGCAGGAGGGGGAGCCTGCAGCTCAAGAGGCCGGAAGCAATCCTTATGCAGGTGATGTGATGATGCATCACATCGCCTGCGCGGGATAGAAGACAGTCGGAGAGGAAGGCCGCGGGGGGGAGGAATGGACAGGTGAGTTAGCTCAGTGTTGGGTTTCTTTTTTCTTTCCCCCCCTGTGGTGAACGAATTACAATGCTCACATAGTTAACTCCCTAAAAAGTTTAGGGAATTAACTATGTCAGCCTTGTAGTTCGTTCACCGCAGGGCCTCACCCAATGGGGGCCTATTACTACCCACCCCCGAACACAGTTCAGATTTTTCATGTGGCCCCCCTATAGAAATTAATTGCCCACCCCTGTACTAGGTTGTCAAAAACTATATAAAGAACCAAGATACCTTGGTTCAATTTACCTCTGCAGAAGACGTGGGTTCTAAAAGGTGCTGCACAACTAATGATTTCAGAGGTTGTTGGCCACCATTCTTCAGGGGTCCCATCAAGCAAAAGAGGAGTGAGATTTCTCTCTCTTATTTCACTGCTTATGTGTTCTGTTTTATTGTTTCTTTAATGATTTTTATCTTTTCCCTCCACTTGTATGTTTATTATCTCAACATCCAAAAGAACCCCTAACCAGCTCTGATAAAAGGTAGGATCAGTAATACTCAGAAATAACAGCACATAACAACAGTGTAACAACACTTATGGAACAAAGTTGAAAAACACTAAGTAGATAACAACATTTACAGAAATATTTGGTGAATTAAAGGGAGAAAAGACTTATAGGCAACGTAGGAATTATTATTTAAATTACAGTGAATACAATTGACAAAAGAGAGATTGTCATTTAAATGTTGCATTACTTCATGGCCAGAAAAAATTTTTTTAGAAACATAAAGAGATTTGGATGGAAATTTCTGGATCCTAATAAACTGTGATTTCAGGCCTAGCACTCCCCCCAACACACACAGCCTGGACCCTGCATGCATGGATGCCCCCGTCCATGCGTGCATATGTGCCCCACCCAGCTGCGAGCGCACCCCACCCATCCATGCAAGCGCACCCCACCTACCCGCAAGTGTGCCCCACCCATCCACGCATGCATGCGAGCGTGTCCCCACTCACCCGTGAGCGTGCCCCGCCCACTTGTGAGCACAGGGGTGCGCCCCATGCAAGGCCCCCACCTCCCCAACCGGTCCGCTTCACCATAGCTGTCCACACCCTTAGAGTGAAACAAGGTGCTGCTCAAGAATAGTTGTGAAAATTGTCCCAAAAATGGCAGTGAGAAAGGAAGTTGCTTATAGTCTAACAACTATGTTTCATGTTTAAAACTAATATTTATTTTCCACTTGTAAGTTACCACTTTCAAAGAGTAATGCTTACAATGCAGATGTCTTGCAACATAGAGAAACAATGAAATTTACCCTTGACAGCAACAACCATGAAGACAACAACTTATTAGACAGGCTTGAATCTAATTGGGCCAGTGAGGAGCCTAAACACCCTTATGTAGAATGAAGGGATGCCAGCTCTTTCTTATCTCTGCCTTATCCATACAAGCTTCTATACAGTCAACCTATCAATAACATGAAATATTGTTTTAAAAAGGCATTGTCTAATACAAAATCATTCTGTGGAAAAACAATAGGACCAGTACATAGTTATAATAAAACTGTGATTTGAAACATTACACCCCTACATTAACTTAGCATTTGCTATGACAACAGTATGTGTAAAGACTATTTCAAAACATCTAACCTTAGGTGTGAGATCAGATCGTTCTTGAAGCTTGTACGTTTTAGAGAAAAGCAGCCTGATTATCCAAAGGATTAGAATACCTTCCAAAATAAGATGGTAAGCAGGAGCCTAAAAGATAAACAAAAATAAAGTCACAATTTCTGCTATGCTTAAGCTTACCTTATAACACAGAATCATAGAATAATGGAGGTGAAAGGAACCTACAAGGCCATAAAGTCCAATGTCCTGCTCAAGGCAGGAAATCTAAAAGAAAATATTATCTGACAGAAAGTTATTGAATTTTGTCTTGAACGCCTCCAGTGTTGAAACGCTTACTACCTCACAAGGTAATTGGCACCATTGTTGCATTGTTCTAACAGTTAGAGCAATAGAACAATTGTACTATTGTTTTTTCTTGATATTCATCCAAAATCTGCCTTCCTGTAACTTGAGCCCATTATTGCTTGTCCTAAACTCTGGGATGATAGAGAACAGATCCTTCCCTTCCTCTGTATGACAATCTTTCAAGTATCTGAAAAATGCTATCATATCACCCCCGTCTTCTCTTCTCAAGGCAAAACATGCCCAGTTCTTCCAGCCTTTCTTCAGAGGGCTTGGTACTCTGAACATTCTTGCTGCCCTCCTCTGAACGTGTTCCAGTTTGTCTGCATCTTTCTTTCAGTATGGGTATCCTGAACTAGAAACAGTACTCAAGATAAGGCCTAACCAGTGCTGAATGGAGGAGAACTAGTACCTCACAAGAGCTGGAGATGAAGTGCTTCAGTTAATGCAGCCTAAAAGAGCATTTGCCTTTTTCTGCAGCCACATCACACTGCTGGTTCATATTCAGCTTGTGATCTACAACAATTGCAATCCTTCTTGCACATAGTATTACTGAGCCAAGTATCATCATCTTGTAAGTGCATGTTTGTTTGATTTTTTTTCCCCTTATCAAAATTTCTTGAAAGTAATTGAAATGGGGATAAAGGTATTCTCTCACACACTCTCACATCTGATAGAAAACAAAGGTATGTTATGGTTATGGGAACACCAATATAAACCTAATGAGACTATTAAGAACTGTAAGGAAGAAATATAGACAGTTGGAAATTCATGTCCATGACCAGCAAAAATCATCCAAAAATTTCCACTGGGAAAAAAATTGCACAGTATTTTGCAGATAAAGTCACATGGATCTGGTCTGACTTGTATGCTCCAGTTGATACAGGTCCTATTGATGTTACTTTGGCTCCTGCTTCTCCTGTTATAATGGATATTTCAATCTGTGCAACCTAAGGATGTGAAAAGGATTCTTGGAGGAGAAAGCCACCACATGTATGCTGGATCCTTGTCCTTCCCAGTTCATAAAACCTATCAGAGGGGGGTAGGTTTATAACCTATAAAACCCTACACATTTTGGGTTCAGGCTCTGAATGACCATTTTTCCCTGTATGAGCCTTCTCAGCTCTTATGATCTTTGGGGAGGCCCTTTTCTCAGTCCCACTGCCTTCTCAGGTATATTTGGTGGGGAGGCTAGAGATGACCATCTCTGTGGCTGCTCCCAGATTGTAGAATGCCCTCCCTGGGAGGCCAGGTTGACCACCTCCCTCTTGTACAGTGGTGCCTTGCTTAATGGCGATAATCCATTCCAGGAAAATCGCTGTTAAGCGAAAACATCGTAAAGTGAAAAAAAAAAAAAAACCACTGAAACGCATTGAAACGCCTTCAATGCATTCCAATGGGGTCAAAACTCCCCGTCCAGTGAAGATCCTCCATAGGGCAGCCGTTTTCGCTGCCTGTCTTGCAAGGAATCCGTCCCAGAAAACAGCGGGGAGCCATTTTGTTTACCTGGTGGCCATTTTGAAACTGCCAATCAGCTGTTTTAAAATCGTCATTTTGCGAAGAATCGGTTCCCGAAGCAGGGAACCGATCATCGCAAAGCGAAAAAAACCCATTTAGACCATCGTTTTGCGATCGCAACTGCGATCACAAAAAGACTGTTGTAATGCGGTTTCGTCATAATGCGGGGCAATCGTAAAGCGAGGCACAACTGTACTTCCGCAGCCCCAACTGTTTCAGCAGGTTTTAACAGCTAAAAGCGAAAAAACCCCATTTAGACCATCGTTTTGCAATCCCAATTGCAATCACAAAAATTGTTGTAATGCAGTTTCGTCATAATGCGGGGCAATCGTACAGCGAGGCACAACTGTACTTCCGGAGACCCAACTGTTTCAGCAGGTTTTAACAGCTAAATTGGGCATTAATGAGTTTCGTACTACATATTATTTTATATATGTTTTAATTTGCTTTTAAAGGGTTTTAGCAGTTTTAATTCATTAATTTAATACTTATATATGCTTAATTTCTTTTTAACATATTAATTTATTCGCCAAAATGATGTTGGTTAGCATAGTAAACCACACTAGAATAGGCCCAATGAAACAGGGATTGAGGGAATCAACTCCTCCATGTGCCATTGATTCAGATGGGCCTAGTCTTATATGAAACACGGATTGAGGGAATCAACTCCTCCATAAATGCCATTGATTCAGATGGGCCTAGTCTTATTGAAACATACTATCTTAATACGTATAGCAGTTAGAGCCGGCCCATTTTAATCAATGGAAATTGCAGAAGAAATGACTCAACAAATCCTCATTGATTCAATGGGCCACTTATGATTTATTATGGCAAGCAACAAGATTTTGGCGTCTGTGTTTTCAACTAGTTTGTCTTTTAATAATTCTGAGCTGCCTTCAGTCCTATAATTAAGAGAAAGAAAGCATAGAAATAACGTAAATAAACACTGTACATAATATTGCAAGCTTGTCAGATACCCAAAACCAAATGGTAGGTTCAGAACACAATGTCTAAGGACTTAAATGACACTCCATGTATATAGTGGCAAGAATCCTGTTGGTGACTTATGCATGAGTAAGGTGAATTGTGTAACTTACTGTGTAACACCACAAACTGAAGAGACGCCAGTTGCATTCACAAGTGTGTGCCTACTGTGCAATCAGACATGTAACTCACAACATAATGAGTGCCTTCTTAGTTGGCAGCAATTTACCGTGGTGAGTTACACATATGGGAATCACCAACAAAGGGCAAAAAGCAAAGGGCAAAATCTTCTTCTGTAGTCCCCCCCAGTGTAAAACAAATAGCATAACTTTTGTTTTGGAGGGGAATTGCCTCAGAAATCACCATAGACATTATCCATTTCATGCTATGCAATGAATATTGTATTCACTAAGGTATTAGCCATTATCTTCTTTGCCTTCAAGTACAGTATTAAGCATAGAGAGAGAGCACCATTAATCCCTGTGCTACATGTGACGGCTAATAGATTTTGCTTGCCCCCAAGTGCACACACACACCACCTCCATCCAAATCATCCAAAAATGTTTAAAACAAGGCACAAATCCACCATACAGCACCTGCCTGGTTTTGCAAAATGAGAAATGGGCTCATAGATCCTTCTATTTCAGTTTGAGGGAATTTGTGGGCCCATCACAGGAGGAATATGGTCTCTGAGTTATAAATGTCAGCATTCCCGATAACTGCCCATGATGGCTGATACCAACTGTGGTCCAAAATATGTGGAAGGCATCAGAGCAGGAAAAGTTTCAACACAATTGTGTTGTTGGATTAAACTGTAGAGATGTATATACTTCAGAAAGGTCTAACGGTTGTCTGGAAACTCAGACACAATTGCTCCAACTAGTATTATGTCAACATTAAGTGGCATGTAGAGGGATTGAACAGATTAAGCGCATACCTCTGATTCTGAAGCATAGGACCAAAAGATTAAGTTTCTTTCTCAAACAACAGTATCTCTGGTGGTCTTGTTGAACATTATTTAGTTTATGACTACAAATCACTTGATCTTGTTTTTCAAACTTCCTTATAGTTTACCATACACGTAAGCATAGTCTCTTTTGATCACACAGTAAGCTACCAACCAAACTGCCCTATGACATGGGTCTATATAAGGTAACAAACTCCCGTATTTCTCTCAAAGCTTACTCTAACAACACAAATTGACAGCTATAGCTTCACAGTACAGACTGCACTAATTCTGACTAAATCCTAACAGAAATTTGAAATTTAATTTTTAAGGTAATGTTTAAAGGCTTAAGCCAAAGGATTTTGGGTGAAATAATGGATACTATAGCTCAAAAGTAACACAAGACACAACTGCAGTGGGTCAAATCCCAAAATGAATAGTCCTAAATCCCTACTTTGCACTAGATCCTACTTAATTCAACACTCTTCAACCCACAATAAGTGTGTAGAGTGGTGGTCTCCAACCTTTTTAACTCCGGGGACCGGTTGGGGAAGGCGGGGCATCCCTGGGCTTGTGCGCATGAATGAAGGTGCACTCTCTCTCGCAGGCAGGTGCTCTCTCTCATGCGTGTGCGCATGCACGAGGGAGTGGGAGGGTGCTTGTGTGGGCAGACATGCACCGCGCTCCTGAGCATGCATGAAGGGCGTTCCGGTGCTTGCGTAGGCACACTCGTGCAGCCGCACGAAGGGCAGCACGGTGCTCGGGGGCACTTGTGCTCATGTGCAAAGGGGTGGGGGAGCGCTTGCGTGGGCACAGGCCCCCGCACGCATGCAGAAATGGGCTGTACAGGGGGAGTACGTGCAGAGGGAGGTCTGTCTTGCGGACCAGTCTGGCTCAGGCCACAGACCAGTACTGCTGGGCAGGGGGCTGGGGACCTCTGGTGTGGAGAACTACAGTTTCAGTGTATCCAAGACAGCTCTGTTTGCAATGAGCTTCCAGGGTTCCTTCATTAACTTCCTCCATTGGACTTTATGTGCCAGATATCATTTACTGTAAAAGTGAGGAACATTGGTTTACAACCCTCATAAACCACAGTAATACAGGGCACCGCTTTATACTGAATCAAACCATTGGTCCATCTACTCAAGTACTGTCAATTTACTAACTGGCTTGCTATTTTTCAAGCTTTTGAACTGGATTCTTTCTTATTCATGTCAGAGATTCTGGTGTTCACTGGCGTGTTCTCATCCATCTACTATGCGGACCTGGCTTGATCAGCTCCCAAAATTAGAGGAGAATGCCTGTGTTTAGGATACTGTGGTGGTATATCTACCATCGCAAATGGTGAGGGATGATTCAAATTCAAATCCAACAGTATTTGGAGTGCCAATTCTTCCTCATTCCTGCTTTACTGCCATGTCCTGGGATTGAATTTAAAACATTCCACATACTGATCATGAGCTCTACCACTGAAATAATGAAGGAAACTAAAAACTTAGCAGATATATCTGAGTTCCACAAGTGAAGAATATTAAATGACTAAAAATATTTTTATACCAGACTTCATCAAAAGCAATTCTAGGACATTCTACAAGATGAAATACAAAAAGATAAAGTCACAGACAGCAAGTGGAGCAGTCAACTGAAATCAGCAATACAGACATGCAGAGTTGTAGATCCTCAGAAGCCTGAATAAAGCTGTTTGACTGCCTAGAACAGAAAGCAAGTCAACTCTGGGGGCTGCTTTAGTACAGGTTTCCAGACAGGCATCTACCTCAACAATACTGTAATCAAGACTTGACACATTCAAAAACAATCTATTCACTCAGAAACGGAGCCCAATGAATTCAGTAACACTTAGAGTGGGGTCTTGACTTAAGAACGGCTTGAGTTAAGAACATTTTGACTTACGAACCACTCTCATAGGAAAATATTGACTTGACTTACGTACTTAGGTTTGAGTTAAGAACTGAAAAAAAAAAACCCACATGGGAGGCAGGGAAAGTGCAAAATTTGAACGTTCAGGCATCTACCTCAACAATACTGTAATCAAGACTTGACACATTCAAAAACAATCTATTCACTCAGAAACAGAGTCCAATGAATTCAGTAACACTTACTCTTAAATTTACAGAGGATTACAATCTTCATTCCTAATCAGGATCTTTGTGATACCTGTTGTGGTGCAGTGGACAGTAGGATGGACCAGAACTCAGGAGATAGTTTGAATTCAGCCATGGAAGTTTGGGTGTTTGTGTGAACTTGTAAAACCACCCCTAAAACATCTCATTTATCTCAAGCTCTATTAGGGTCTATGAATTAGCTCTGACCTGGAAGCACATAACACAATGATCCTCACCATCGTAACCTTACCAATCAAGTTTTATGACATTTTGATAGAATGTGAAGAGTGGCTCCAGATGAGGCTCCCAGGTTAAATTTAACAGGAAACATCTTGCAACTCTTGAACAGCAACAACTTAAGAGTTCAGTCACACCCAAGACAGCTCTGACCTGGAAGCACACAACACAATGATCCTCACCATCGTAACCTTGACATTTTGATAGAATGTGAAGAGTGGCTCCAGAAGAGGCTCCCGGGTTAAATTTAACAGGAAACATCTTGCAACTCTTGAACAGCAACAACTTAAGAGTTCAGTCACACCCAAGAAAACTCCTCTGTGCTAATCCAGGCACATTGACTTCCAAAGTACCAGTGACACCACATCCCAATCTACTCTGTTCCAAGACCAATGTTAGCACAGTTCCATGTGGCCAAGGGCATCTAGAAGTATGGTACCTTCCAAGTTTTGTTAAACACGGGCCAGATGTTATTCTCCCTTGCATCGAAAAACAATAATAAAAGAACGGGGCAAGGGAAAGAGAACTCAGACCTACAAGGGCATCATTAGTATGGGCTGATATAAACATATTCCCAAGGATGGTGACGACAGTGGTTAGTGCCAGTATCAAGCACATGCTCCTGGACACGTTAAAAATTCAATTATAGAAAAAGGATCTTTCTCCACTTCTAAGATGCAACTGCTGGAATGACATACCTTGCATCCCCATCACGCCAGCCAGACGCGAGGATCTCATCTCTTCTCTGCCCGGTCCCTTTCCCTTGGACTCCCGCCTCACCGGTGCCCCAACACCTGCCACCACCACCCCCGTCTCCAGCGCTCCCAAGGCTCATCCTCCCTGACCTCCCAAACTATGAGGCAAGAGCCGCCCGAGCGTCCCCCCCCCCACAAACACACACACCTTCCCTTGCTCCTACTCCCACTTCCTTCCACCACCCCAAGAAACACACGCGCACCCACCGACCGCCTATTCCTCTCGGGAAGGGGGGGGGTTGGAACCCAAGCGCCCAGGAGGAGAAGACGGCGCCGCCTCCGCCGCCGCCGCAGCTCACCTCGTAAAAGGCCTGCACCATCTCCACCAGCACCCACTGCTGCCCCATACCCTCCACCGA